TGGTAGAAAGGCTTTTGCTCCACTATTGCTCAGAAAATTGAATTCTTTCTTTGGCTTTACCTATTATTTTCAGACAAACCTAACACTGAATTTGCTGCAGAGTGCATAACATCGTATCTATAGCACACAGAGGCTTGTAAAGCAAAGTTCCCCCTTTCAGCTAGCTTGAACCTAGCTGGAAGGCTGCTAAGATACCCTCCTGACAGCGCAGCACTGTATGGGAACAGCAGCTCATCAGCTGAAAGAATTAAGGCTTTGTTGGCATGGGACTGGCTACTTTAGCTGTGATGCTCTAAGGACACAGCTGTACTCCTTACTCACCTCCACCCCAGGGACTTTTGCACTGTAGTCCATGACATCCATTTGGCTCTCAGGTTTCGTTGTTGGCTGGATTTCTCTCAAAGTAAAGGTAGATTGATGTGTACAAATTCACAGCCCACACTTTGATCTAGCGAGCAGGCAGTGGCACTTGTGCTCCTGTTTAGTTAGGGGTTCACATGAGTCCATGTCTTTCCCATGTAGTGAGTTTACATGAGGCAAGTGTGTGTGGGTCACAGAGTATCTACACTGCTTCTGGTAGAAAAAGCTAAGCTTCTTTCACTCCACACAAGTTAAAGTATGAGATCATTTCATTTTTTGGAAGCCTTTGGAAACTTTTATTTTATCCCATGATTGGTGAGGGAGAGCCTGGATCCAGTGTTTGTTGTGTTTTTATTTTCTAATTTCAGAGAACATACTGCCACTATCTCAAATAGGCACAGTAAATTAAGTATTGTAGGTGGAATCATGGTCCAACCAAATTTAGGTGGTAGCAAACATGAATTAACATCTGAAAATGCATCAAACAGAAAAAGCTAAATGAAATTGAGGGAGGAAGATTTCTTCTTTAGGCATTCCTAAGGGATTTTTTTGTTAGCTCTATATGCCTTCAAGATTTAGTGAATATATCCTCAAGAAAGGAAGTATTTTGTCATAAATTTAATTCCATTCTTTCTGCATTTCGGTGAAACATTCAAATCAATCTACCCCTTGGTGGATAAATTGAACAGCATTTGTCTGTGCCTTGGGTTGTATGTATGCAATGTTGCCCTGTTTTCTAATTCTTTTTTTTTTTCTTTTTTAAGAAAACATGTAGTCCATAGATGATTACACAGTGCATCTGCACAGTGTAATTTAATGTGCCCTTCTGTGAACTTTCATGCAGAAAATGTCAGTTACTTACATACCTAAACCATACGAGACATTGCCCCAACAATTCCATCTTCAGAAAGGTTAGTGTGGGGGGTTTTTTGATAATGTGTGAATTATTGAGATAGCTTATTTGAAAGGTGGTGAAAGAGAGGGAAATCCTGTGCAGATGGAGAAATAAGTTTTTTTTCAACTGAGTTTTTTAGCAATTCAGAGTACTTTTTAAAGATGTATCAGTGACATGAGAAAATTGAACAGTAACTTACCTATTAAAACATTTTTTTCCTTGATAGTAATAGGGACTTGTAGTCTAACCCTATTCAGTATAGACCATCTATATGGTAACTAGAGCATTCTTTTTTAGTTCCACACATTTCATTTAATGTTTGTCTTTTTTTGCTCTTACTGGCAGTACTTCATGTAAATCCAGTTTAAGCTATGCAGAAACTCATTTTCTGTTTAAAATTTTCCTGCTCCTTGTTTTCCTCTGTTTCTCCATGATGTTAGCAGCTTCTCCAAAGGCACCAGCAAGGGAATTTACAGATTCTTCTTTTCACTGATCATGGATGATGTCAGTTAACCTTGAAGTAAGTCAAACTAGCAATGTCCATGTTCAGGAGGTTAGATTGCAAAAACACTTCAAGTAAGATTATCACAGTGCTCTGCAATTGTTATTAATAACTTAGGATGTAAATTGTCACTGGATTCTAAGCTACATATAACGTATTTTTGTCCTATCTTTTTCTGTAAAAAACAGATTTATTTTTTTTCCCATGCTACTTAGACAAACCAATAGTCTAGGGTTGTATTTATCTGTGCTGCAATTTTACTTGGATTTCACCTTGCATATTTCAGTTGGCACTTATGTTTTTTGTGCTGTTTTGTTTGAGATGGGGGTGGCAAGGAAGGGGATTTTTTTCTCCTCCAAGTTGAGGATTGCCATACAGCTGTGAGATCCCTTTAATTAAGTCGGACTAAGCTACATCAGATGGGCTGGTATCTGAGTGCCCTGTGAAGACAGCTGAGCTGTTGGTGATGTACTTTAATTAAAACTTTTAATATTTCATCCCTTACTACCCGAAGTGTGACCTGTCAAGCTGCTGAGAGACAGCTCCTTGATAGAGGTGCAGCTCTGAGCCCAGGACTGGCACTTACTTATATCCAATTTGTGTACGATCACTTGGTGGTTTTGTTGTGTTTTCTTTCTTGGTGTGCTTGTTGTCTGCAAGAGCAGGAAATCACAGATCTCTTAATGTTAAAGGATATTTGGACTTGTTAAATAGCTCATCAAAAGCCAGCCCACATCTCCTCACCCTAATCTTTCACAAGTGGTTTGAAAGTGTCTAGCAGTTTTGCTCCCCCTAAGACTTGATTTATTAGTAAAGCTTTAGAGGCAAAAGAGGCAGCTGGATGTAGAACAGAGATCCAAATTAGGGTATAGTTCACAAGCGGCATTGAGCTGATTTAGTGTCTTTCCACGGCTGAATGGGCAATGTCCTCTTCCCCCCATCATGTTTCCCCCTTTCCCAGCTCCCTGTGCTTCCTTCCCTTGTACCCAGAAGGCCTTCAAATGGTGGCAAGGTAGGGAGTACAGGGGTGGGAAAGGCAAATGGCAGTTTATATGAATTCTCTGTAAACTACTTGGTGTTTCTGGGACTGCTTTGTGTCATCCTCTGCAGTTCCTTTGAGGGAGTAAGTATCATTAGAGAGTTAATTACCCCATGCAAAGACCCGTTGAAATTGAGAGATAAATACACTCGACTAGTAGTTTTTCACATCTAGGATTTGCTATTAAGTATGTAAACAGTGTTCAACTTGTATTTTGACAACTGGCTCCCCTCTTGGTGTTGATCAGAGCAGTGCATACCCTGCAGCTGGTGCACTGAACCAGAGCTACATTGCTGTTGTTTGATACAGTTCCCAGGGGACATTAAAATTTTTCATACACAAAGCTGCTTGATCTCTAGCTCTGTATTCTTTGACACTGTCTTACTCTAGCCCAATTTCTTGGCATTAACAAAACACGTTTCTATGTTAAAGACCACCTGCAGAAGTCAAAAGCCTTGCACTGATGGATCACAAGCCAAAAAATCCAAAGTGCCTTTTTTTCTGTAATAAAGTTGCATAAGCCATAAATCTACAAATCATGATATGGAATCATGGAATGAACCTCTTCAGTCATTTCTCAGGGGGAGGATAACCCCCTTGGAAAACAAGATTTATGAATATATATTATGAAATCAGCTGACTGTTATCAGAAGAAGTAAAATTGTTCAGATGGAGAGCAAAATTATTGTCCATAAATAAAGAACTAGATAAAATCTAAAAGTTTTTATTCATCTCTGGAATAGCTCATCAGCCTTACTTATTTTGCCTTTACAAAGTCCATTAGGAAATATATAAATAATGATTTTTCTGGCCAAGTTCTACTAATTGTTATCCTCTGAGGTGTATAGTCTCTGCGCTCTATATGTATTTTGCAGCTCTTTCTGTCCCAAACCATTATGCTATCAGTGCACAGGGACACCAGTGACCCACTATCATTTATAGCAGTGAGAGCTGAAATAATCCCTGTCCTAAGTTTCCCACATTCTAATGTGGTTTGTATGACAGTTTAATCAAGCAACCGCAGCTGAAAAGCAGGACTCATTCTTCAACACGCATATGGTATGGGATGCAACTTCAGCAATGTCCTGAAGGAATTATAAACAAAGAATCTAATTGGAATAATTCTGAATATAAGTAAACCTCTCTGTTCAAATTTGTATTTAGCAGGGAGTGAAGAAAAAATATTTTTTAAATTATTTAGGAGGGTGGAACCGGTTTGTCAAAAACAAAAAGTCCTGTGTTCAGGTTGTGCTCATAAGAAAAATATCTCTAGGATTAAATTATGGTAAATGTAATACTAATTAATGAGTTTATTGTTTCATGTGCTGGATAGAGGCTTAAAGTCCTTAAGGGGAATTTAGAATTTGTCCTCAAAACTAAATTTCATCAACAACAACAACAAAAAGGTCAATGAAAAAAAATAAATATTGTCTTGCAATGCTAGATTCCCAGGTGGTGCATCCTTGAAAATCTGAAACTGAAAATAGAAAACTCTAGTGCCAGCCCTCCTTTCCACTTTTTTCCCAGCACTTTTTCAACAAAAATGTGGTTTTAGTTTGATTGAAACATTTTTTACATTCTTGTTTAATTTACTGAGTTGTTTTACCTAAAAATAATAAACTAATTAAAAACCAATTTAAATGCTGGTTTTGCATTTCTTTATACTGTCAGAGGACATATTGATTAGAGATTTAATTTAGTGAAAAAAAAAAGAGATTTCATTTAAAATAGAACAAGGTTTTTCATATATACAAAAGATTTGTTTTGTTTTCTTGGTGTTCTTTAAAAAATGACACTTTTTATTTGAATTGTTAGTTTTTGGTAAGTAACTTCAAAAAAAGTTATTCTCACAAGTCTCGTAAAAACCAAAGGGAAAGTGGCTTTACTAAATTTTCTTTGTCCGACTGAATACAAATAGTGCATACATAGTTAACATCAAGTTTGAATTGTATCATTCTCTCTCTAATCTCTTTCTCTTGCTTTTTAATAATTTAATAAACTGTTTTACAAAATTTACCGAAGTCATAGTGCCTTTTTAAAGCAAACTTACTAGTTTGAGGTTTGCAATCTACATATGCATTACAGATTCTAATTACTGTTTTCCTGGTAAAACACTAAGGGTTATGCCTGTGATTCCTGCATAACAATAATCATCACGAAGCAATAATGACCCAGTCCTTTTTTCCACCTTCTACTCTCTCTAGAGCTACATCTATAATGATCCCATCAGGTACTACATGATGCAAAAACCCAAAGAGCGAGCACCTCCTTTGGCCCATGCATCAACATCCCGTCAACAGCACACGGAAAATCTCCTTGGAAGGACCTTCAACCAGCCTCAGCCAGACAAGTTCTCGCCAGAGTCAGAAATGGGGCTTGACCAAAAAACTCTGATGGCGGCACTGCATACGTACATCACTCGGAACTTGTCAGCACAAAGCAATGATAAAAGCTCTCAGAGCAGGACTAAAGGGTCTCACATTTATGCTGATAGATTCTACCCTTCGCAAGTCAGTCCTTTTGATGGAAATTTTGCCAAAGGAAAAGCAGATTTTAAAATGAAGAAGCTGTTCCAGCCAAGACCTGCATCCGGAGTGCTGGGGCCAACCCCTGAGATGCTGAATCGTAAGTCTGCTTCCCAGGATGATCCAAAGGACCCTCTGAGTGTAGTGGATGGTAAAGTTGATATTTACTTATTTTAACTTCTCTGAAGTTTCTCTTATGTTCACTGAGCATTTTTGAGAAAAAAATTTTAAAAAAGTAGACGTTCTGATATGTCTCCTACTATTGGCATATTTGTATCTACCATAATACTCTCAGTAATAATGTTCACCATTCTAACTACTCTTTCCCTGCAAACATCTACCCACGTTCTTCAACCCACCTTCCATATGCATGCAGAAATATATGGCACTCAGTAAGATGTAGCATTTATGTAACTTGTTATATTTTCAAAGTATTTTACAAACAACACGTAATTATGGGTACATCTTTGCTATCAAATCTGTTTTTATGCATGCATCCCACACTATATATAGGTAATATAGAAATGCCTGGTTTTGTTCCATTTTTCTGTATTTAACTAGAAATTCAAGGACCATGGGTAAAATTCAAAGTTAGACACAGAAATTAACACTAAGATAAATTCTGGTGCAGAACACAGAGAGGGGAGGAGTCTGTCAATTATGTGGATAGATGGACACCGAATATTGCAGGAATGTGGGATTACATCTAGTTTTGGCTGGACATTCTATAACAAACAACCCATTTGCTGGATTTTAACCTTTTTTTGCTAATGCTGTTTAACAATGACCCAATCCTGATTTCTTTTGTATGTGATAGTTTGACAAATAGTTAAATGGAAATGGAGTGTAACATCTCACGGGACCCTGTGATACCCTTTAAGCGCTGCTTTGTAAGACAAGATGGGTCTTCACGGCATGGCTGGGGATCAGGTAGAGTTTAGAAAATAACTGTCACTCATTTTATTGTTTCTTTAAACTAATCTAACTATTGATGTTATTCCAGTGGTTCAGAATGCCTGAAAAATGAAAGAATTGATCCTCAGCCATTGCCAAGCAGTTACATCTGTTACACTGTAGTCACCACTATCCCAATGGATTTTGGTGATATGTAAGAGGGTTCCTTTGAATCCCTTCTGTACTTATTATCATCCGTAGAGTTTAATGTTCTTTGATTTGTTTTGGTGTGGTTTTTTTTTTTAAAAACCAAACACACAGAAATGTCAAAGTTGCAGCAGAGGAAGGATAATGCTTGCAATCTAAAGGATGCTCAGAAGTGAAAGCATTCTTGGTATGATGCCCAGAGATAATAGGTTTCAAGGAATGAACTATAATGTAAAATCAAATCCAGGTGGCACAGTAAGTCTCTTGCACAGGTTAGACAATTTTGTTGCTAGACTCAAAACAAACTAGGCACATGCTGGTTTCATTATCCTCCAGCTGTTCCACTTCACCTTTCCTGGTAGGAGCCAACTGGGAAAAAAATGCTTAACACTTAGAGGGAATAACATGTTTCACAATTCATTGGGTTGTGCTACTTTGACTTCACATACATAATGTGCCCTGTAGGAACTTCTTCCATTGCATTAGCTTTTAAATGTTGCATAGACATAAAATTATGAATCGTTTGAGTAGGAAATAATACAGTTTCCTTTGTATTTTTGAGCCACTTAACAGTCTCATAAGGAAGTGGTGAGGACAGACCCCAGCGTATTCGTTGTTTAAAATGCTGTCCATTGGAATGATGATGGTTTGGATTCAGATTTGCCAGGCTGACCACGCCATCTCTTTCTGCTTTTAACCTTTCTTCAACCTCTCTGGTGCTTCAGGATTTTTGTATGCTTGTGGGTTATGCTCTTGCGCTCTCTAAACCACAGAACTGTTCAGGAACTGGAAAGCATGGGGTACAGTCACATGAGCTCAGTTCTCTGCTGCATCTGATACAGGATTAGACAAAGGAACTTGACTGGGAGAACAATCCAGAAGGTACTGAGCAGATTAACACTGAGAATTGCTGCAAAACAGTGGCAGGTAAATTAGCTAACTGCACCCTGAAGGAGAAATACAAGAGAAGGAAATGCGGAGCTATTTTTCTATCAGATTTGGAAACTGTTACCTCTAGGAGTAGCATGATGTGCGTGGGTACTGCCTTTCTAGTCACTGTGCTATAGTGGAATGGTTAATCTGCCTTCTGCACCAGCCGTATTTAGGATTTGGCTCAGTTTTAAGTGATATGTTCTAGTCTATTTATTTTTGGTGTATTAAATATTACAGAATACATCTCTCTGTTGCTTTGGAAAGGTCACAAAATTAGTAATTCAGATGTCTTTTTTTCAAAAAATAACAAACGTCCACGTTTGTAAAGCAAAAATATTTTTGTACGTTCTCTGTCTTGCAAAGCTGTGGTCACCAGTCCATGTGGCGCCCAGCTGCTGAGGATAGCTAATGTGTGGTCAGGGGGGGTGATGGGGTAGAAGAAGACAGACCACCCTGTGGGACTGCTAGCAAAGTTACTGCTGCCGTACCATTGGGCTGTCAAGCAAGCTCCTCTTGTTACCAACTAGGGGGATCCTACTCGTGAAGCTGATATTAAAAATTGCGTCATCTAAGATATATGTGCCTTTACTGTCATCATGGTTCCAAGGCAACTATGAAAGGCAACTTGTCTTGTTCAGTTCAGAAGCCGGAGCTAAGGGAGAAGTCTGGTTTGCAGTACAAGCCCTGTGAATCATGGGCAAGCATTGCCGATTCTATTTAGAAGGGGTCAGTGGGAGAGTATAACGGCTGTGCACAGGTACACGCATGTTCGAGTACATGTGCTGCTTAAGTGATGTGCCATTGCTGTACCCATCTGCTTTTTGGTCTTTCTCCAACAATATTTTCTGATTTTAATAAATTAATCATAATTTCCTTTAATTACCCAAAGGTGTTTGTAAATAGATGCACTGATATTCATTTGTGTATCAGCCTTGTCCAATAATATGCAAATGATATACAAACATGGACAGGTGCTATAACAAGAAGTGGAAGCATCCATATTTAACATGGGCATGTATTAACATCATATCAGTAACCTCAGGAAATTAGCAAATCTCTTTGTGTAGACTTCCATTTCACCAGGCTGTTACAGACATTTTGGTGATTGTTCCTCCTAGTGTACTGAAAACATGATGTTCTTCATACTTACTAGCTTTGGTTATCGTCTTTGGTCCCTGACATTTTAGGTCACACTTGCAGTTGTTCAGTAAAGGTAGCATATAATGCTTAAGTTTTTCTCATGTTGACACAAGTATTTAGGAGTTTGTTGGATGAACTGTGCCCAGGTGGCATTGACCAGGGCAGGAATAGCAGCATCACAGGAGCAGGAGGCTCCTCTGAAACACGTTTATTTAATTAATTAGGAGGACCTGCAGTGAGCCTCTTAGTATTATCTGGAGTAGGGCCTGTGGCCATATGTTTTCTCATGTGATTCCTTGCCCCGTTCCCCCATTTCCATTTTGTTTGAGATTGAGACTGCTTTGTTATTGACTATGAACCTGTGGAAGTGGACTGAAGAGGTAAGACTTGGCTAAGATAATTTGGAAAAAATGAAATGGAATGGAAATGACAAGGCAATATTGACAGTGTGTTGTTGAGTAGCTCATTAGTTCGTCTTGACAGGTGGCTGGGAAACAACAGAAATAGACAAAAATCTAGTAGTGCTACATGAATATAGCTCTTTTAATCATATATGTCCTGAAATATAATTCCCTTTTGTCTTCAAATATTGGTGTAATGGCCCGTGACTAGCTTGAATAAAATGTAACAGGCAAATGCAGAAGCAAATTATTTTTCTGAGGTTCAAAAGTTGCTTTCAGCTTAGAAACCTCAGGTTGCTGATTTTTCAGATCAGAATTTTGAGCTACTTTTGACTTGAATCTGCTGCTGAATTTGTGTAATTCGAACTAGCTTTTTTATCATAAATGAATGAACATTGTACAATTTTTAGTCAATGACGCAATTGCTTTTATGCTGTTTGCTGGAATTTGCTTGAAACACCTCCCTGTGCATTTTGCTAAAAACTTCATAGTGTTACTCACCACTCTTTTGAAGCATTTTAAGAATCTTGGTCCCCTTCTCAGAAAATAGATAAACTGTCAGGACTTTAAGTAACATTAATGCTGAGTAAACTTGAGAACCTGAGAGTCCAAATTTTGAAAAAATGGTGCTACTAGGCATGTAAGTGTTTTTGAATTTTTTTTCATAAATCGAATTTCTTGGTAAGATGTTTCCTAATAGCTTGAAAATCACAGTAACTGAATGACATTCTCCTCAATGTGTTATGGCTAGAAAGCAAGGGTTCCAAGTCAAGGGAAGAGAAATGTGGTTTCTGTTCTGAAGTTGAATAAATAAAAAATGCTTCAAAAATATTGTAGGAAAGTGAGCAAGTGATCCTAAAGCAGTCAGTACCTTTTAATAGGAAATGTAACCTGGATTGTGGGAAACTCATGTTCAAGGCTCTAATCAGCTGGCTGTTTTGGGCATGTTCTCTCTTCTTTTGCCTAAAATGAAATATTAATGAATGATGTTAGTGTGACTTAGAAGCCTTTCATTCTTGACAGAGATGTTTTCTAAGACCATTCCACATTTACAAGGGGTTTAGAAATACAGAGGTGGATTCTTGGTCTGCACTGAAAATAATTATGAACATTTGCAAATATTATTCCAGACGGTTGCAAAACCCTTCGAAATCTCATTCATAGATTGTTAGCTGCTACACATCATGGGTTATTCACATCAGTGGATAAATGGCAAACACTCTTGAAAAAAAAGTCACTGAAGTCATCACAGTTTTCTTTTTTTTTGTAGGCGCACTGATGTCAGGTAATCAAACAGTGTTCCAAGAACACTTTTTCCTACTGTGGTGTGCCTTGCAATGTCTCTTTATGCATTTAGTTGAAAAGTTTTAGTTTTGATTTGGAACTGACATATATTCTGCCTTTTCTTTGCTGACTTTATTAGCTCTGCTTCAATAATTCAGGTTTTTCTGTCAGGTTATTGCCCAATAGTTCTATAAAACATAAGAACAGAAATTATACCTATGCAGACACAAGGCTTTTCCAGTAATCTGGCAGTGCTGGTATTCCTACAGCTTAATTTCCTGCATTGCTGCTATGTGTAACATCTTCTCCAAATGGCCACCTTCCTGGTAGCTGTTGTGTTTCTTGAAAAAGTTTCTTGAACTCAGTTTGATCAAGTCTAGTGAAAACTTTATTGCAGTTTGGATCAATTTGCTCCTGTAGATTACCTTCCTAAACAAAAGCATTTGGTCATTATATTTTTACTATAATATTAAATTCATGACAGGGGATGGGTACAATACAATGAAATGCAGAAAGGAAAGTATTCAAAGATTTCTGTGAAGTGTTACTCAGCTTCCATCAAACTTCAGTCCTAATTTTGCTGCCTCCAAATATCTCAGAGAGTTTGCCATAGATCATAAGATTAAGTCTTAGACTCTCATTACTGAACACTTTCTTTCCTGTAGAAAGCACTCTGCTATTTCAGTATGGTACCATAATCTTTGTTGGCTGCCATAGTTTGAAGCAGCATCATAGATTTAACTTACCTTCTTTATTGATAGTAGCACTTAAGTGTGTTTAAAACTATGTTTAAGAAAATTTCAGAAGTTCACAGCATACAACCTCAGCTGAATATTATAATGAAATCAGTAGAATTTTGTAACACCATCATGGGGCATTATTGGAAAGAAGTATCCTTTTAACCTGGAAAAGCAAGTACATCAAAGTACCACCTTCCCCATGTGCCGAACCCCTCTGATTCACAGTAAACCTACTATTTAAGCTGCTTAAGTTATCTTGGTTTATATTGACTAATTAGTTTAGGGAAAACAGCATTAGTTTAGCTGGTGAATTATGGGTCAGGTCAGAGGAAATTAATCTCTGCCTTGAAATGGCATTGAGAAGCTGATGGTCAGCTGCAGGTTCTAACCTCTTCAGCTAACACTGTGGGGGCCAAAGAATGACAGACATGTCTAAGGTCTTGGCCTCTTTTTCCCAATGACAAATAATCCTTGATTCTTGTCTCCCTGCAAAATCACAAGTGTTCTGCTGCCTCTTCCCTGGAGCAGAAGAGTCTCTAACTACATCTTCTTCTTATTTCCTAGTCTCTAACTACTTCTTCCTCCTTTGCTGTGAAAAGCAAAACCTTCTCTTTAGCCTTTTTTCCGGTAGTGTTTTCCCCTTTGTGCACCTACTTTTTAATTCACTTTCATGTAAACCTGAAAGCTCTCAGCATGGTCCCAAAGTCTTGTTTACAGATGATAATGAACATGTCCAGCCACAGGGCTTAACAGGAAGAATGTTACCGTAAGAAAAAAGATTGGATGTTGCCTTCAAACTGCTTATATATAAATCTATACATTCAACAGAGATTTGAAAGCAGTCCATATCTTCCTCTTACACAATACTACCTATGTAAAAGAGTTTTCTTGCATGCATATGCATGCTAAATTCCTGATCAGCATGAATAAGCAGAACAGAGGCACGATTGAAAATGGTTTTGGTATGCTAGACTAAGCCCTACATTTAGCATCTCATCCTCCAAGGGACGTTAGGCCGAGTTTTTCAGAGTTACACAGAATGGTACTGAAGGATACATGCAGTCAGAAAAGTACCTTCCCTGAAGAGCTGTTATGCTACATTATCTAACTCACCTTTAATATCCATTGTCCTTGAATTTCCTCATCTTCAAAACTTTTTTCACATCAAGGTTGTTTTGTTGTTTTGGTTTTGGCTTTTTTGTGGAGTTTTGTTTTGTTTTGTTTTGTTTTGTTTTGTTTTGTTTTCCCTAAAAGTAAGTCCATTTGCTTTTCCTGGCCCGGAACATCATCTTAACATTTCTTTCCTCAATGTGACCGGTAAAACATTCACAGCTGACAAACCAAACCAGTAAAGTTCACTTTTGACAAAATACATATTTTCCAAGAGAAATCAATACAATTTAGAAGATTTGTTCATTACATATCCATGTATGTAATGGACATATATCCATATCCACTTCTGACTGAAGAGGAGCCTTTTGAAAGACAAAATATCTGACTTTTTTTTTTCCAGAGCTCTATATAGCTATTTACCTTGCAAAAAACAAATCACGAAAGAAACCTGATCTCTAATAAACGGTAGCGTTGTTTGCGCTCTCTTGTTATAAACTCTAACATCCATTTATATTACTGTGTTTTCTGTAAAGGTGGCAGCATGACTGTGTATGCACTCTTTTGGAAAACACTCTTCATGAAGGAAAAGATATCTTTTAGGAAAAATGAAAGATACTTACTGATACAAGCACACATGCTTCATGTACGCAGCTAAATCTTGTGCTTCTGTTGTTTTGTGATCCAGAGGTACTTATTAAAGATGTATTGAAGGACCTAGAGAAACACCAAGTGAATGTGGAGAATCTCAGCTCAACAGAACTGGATGAGATTGCTGATACTATCGCCAATGCAATTCAAACCGTTGGCATTCAGGAAGAAACAGAAGAGGGTGCTGGAAAAACTAAAGAAGACAAAACAGAAGCACAAATAAAGAAAGGAGATGCTCAAGGAAGGGCAGAGGTTCAGAATGAATTAATGGAAAACAGTGTTAATATACCAGGTATTAATTCTAATAGTTAAGTACATCAAAAGATAGCTACCCTAATTTTCCTTTATTGTTTCACATTAGTGCTAGACTTTTAAAAATCAGGTTTAAAGAAGACAAGAGGAAAATTTCTGTATTTTTCGCTGAAGGCTGCAGAATTTTAGCTTTGTTGGTTTCTTTTGACAAGAGGTACTTTATTTACCAAAAATGCAGCTGTTTGTGAACCCTTGGCCTTTCAGCTTCACAAACAAGATAAACCTACATACCCAATTATATTAAAATACAAATTGCTTTATGTGTGGTCTAATTTCCCTTTCTCGAAAGAAAATGAGATGTTTAAGCAAAATGATAAAGAAAAATTATTATATTCCAAGAATGTTTTTCAAGATATATAGGGATAAAAATTATGTTTTACAGATAATTATTCTTCAATGTACCGCAATTACTTGCAGAAGAAAGTCTTAGGTACAGGTAGAAAACTTTCCCTTTCCTGCTTAGGGAAATAAAAGAGTTATTATGGTTATTTGCTTCTGTCTGGACACGTGTTTTCCTGGTGGTGCAGATTCAGGAGCTGCAGTAATTGCCATTAAGGAGTTGATACCACAGTAAGACATAAGTTACCACTCACCCGTTCTCTATTTTAGGAATGTTATGATATCTAGGACACTAAAAACATATGTGTCGTGGTTTAACCCCAGCCAGCAGCTCAGCCCCACACGGTTGCTTGCTCACTCCCCCCCCGGTGGGATGGGGGAGAGAATTGGAAGGGTAAAAGTGAGAAAACTCGTGGGTTGAGATAAAGACAGTTTAATAACTCAAGCAAAAGCCGTGCACGCAAGCAAAGCAAAACAAGGAATTCATTGACCACTTCCCATGGCAGGCAGGTGTTCAGCCATCTCCAGGACAGCAGGGCTCCATCACACCTAACGGTGACTTTGGAACACAAACACCATCACTCCGAACATCCCCCCCTTCCTTCTTCTTCCCCCAGCTTTATATACTGAGCATGTGTCATATGGTCTGGGGTATCCCTTGGGTCAGTGGGGGTCAGCTGTCCCGGCTGTGTCCCCTCCCAACTTCTTGTGCCCCCCCAGCCTCCTCGCTGGTGGGGTGGGTGAGAAGCAGAAAAGGCCTTGGCTCTGGGTAAGCACTGCTCAGCAGTGATGAAAACATCCCTGTGTTATCAGCACAAATCCAAAACACAGTCCCACACTAGTTACTATAAAGAAAATTAACTCTCCCCCAGCCAAAACCAGCACAATATGCTATAAGTCATAAACAGTGATTTTAACTTACTGTCTTTTTTCGTGGTGATATACTGAAATCCTTACTAGATAGGGATACTCTGGTTATTTTAATTGCCAATTCTTTTTGTAGATTAAAATGAGCAGACTTGAGGGTTTGTCTTGAATCATGCTGAGAGAAATGAATAAGACTCAGTTCATAAACCAAAAAGCCAGCATTATTTGACTGAGGTTAATGATGTGACTGCATATTATCACTGTAGTTAAACTGTAACATGATTTTTGGTAGACAATATCAATTGAAATAAGTCATCTTCCACCAAAATGCATATGAGGCATGTATATGTCTCCTTTTTCTTTAACGTAAATGTCCATTCAGCTAGCTAGAGCCATTTTATTGCTTTTTTTCTTATATATTGATAAACTGATATGAAGATTGGACACTTAATTAGCAAAATAACACTATTACATTGGCTCTTGAAGTACTCTGCCTATTGATCTTGCATTAATTTGCTATCGAAGTGGGCTTAGAATAACAATACTGAATTATACAGTGCTCTTTACTCTGCCCTTTCAGCTTTGATGTCTTAATGTTTAAATTGCATGAAAAGGCCACCACTACAAAGCAGCCTATAAGCAGTGTTTATTTCATATATGATGTTTTCCCTTCATAACTACGTATTTGTGCTTTTCATATCCTACAGACAATGGAGTGCGTGAAGCCAGTGCCAGAATTGATAAAGAGGTAGAGTACCAGTATTTTAAAAAAACAAGTATTCCATCTCAGAATATCAGGTTTATAAGCAGTGAAGGTCAAAAACACACTTCTGAAATGTAAGACTTGTTTTGCGTTTTGTGTGGATATAATTCAATATCACAGCAGAGGCATGTTGTTGTTGATGCTTTGAAATATTAAATGAACATTTATTTAAACCTTAACCAAAATGAGTTTTGGAGTTCAAAAAACCAAAATCAAGTCCTGTTTTGCCTTTCTATCATTCATGAATAGACAGAATTCATAACAGATCCCAAAGTTCAGACAAATTCAGGCTTTTCCTCAGGTTAGTAATTTTGAGTATTGAGGTGTTCTTGAAAACACCCTTCTTCTTTGACCTGTCCTTTGCCTTTTAGTTCTGGGGGATGTAAGCATCCTTGCTCAGAAAATCTTTCTGTTTTTCAGAAGAAGTTGAGTAAACGTATTCACTCTGAGGGCATGTGTTTGTGGGAGGGTTTGAAATTTCCTCTCCTTTCATGGGATCTGTCATTCTCCACTTTTTCACTTTACCTTTAATTCCTCCAAATCATTGAATATCAGAGGTATTTCAAAAGCACTAGGCATTACATCTCATAGCCTAGGTGGTTAAAATTTGGGATTTTAATCTAGATTACTTTTACAATATTCCTCATTTGCTTTGAATCATATCCTATAGACTTATGTCCAACATTCAGCCATTTGGGGGGTATATTCATCTTTCTTTTTCTGGGTTGCATGGAACAGAAAAATCTCAAAGAAATATTCTTAAAAACAGCCGTGAAACTTCTCCTACTATATACTCCATCAAAAGCTAACAGCTGAGATTCATAAATGGGCAAAGCCTCTTGTGTTCAGTAAAATCTCTTTAGTAGCTGCCCTTCTACCAAGCAAGGAAAACACACAAGTGGACAATGTGGCAGGAGCTTTAACCACACACATGAAATTCTTCAAGGAACGAAGTGCTACATTCACAGTAGACTTAGAGAGGACTCCATGTATAGGTTTCTTAGTGACAGTTTGAATAGGGGATGTGATAGAAAAAAATATATTGTGACACAGAGCACAAAGTGCCCATTAGCCATCATTTCCTCCCAAATGTTTGGCTGCAATAAACTTATGTAATGAAACTAACTAATGAATTGTTCCAGGCATGTGTTTTGACTTTTTCTCACTTGCTTACTGTTTTGGTTTATTAGACAGATTTTTTTCTGTGATCATATGTTTAGCTTAGTGGCTCACTCACAAACAGTTTGTCACAATTTCTAGAGATGAATAAGTGAAATATAATTTGTCACATAATATCTGTTCCCTTTCCTGTGTTATGACTCGTGAGAAGCAAGAGGTATGCATGTTTCCAGTCCTAACACTTAGGCATATTGATGGATATTTCTATTATTTCTCCTTTTCATTAACTTACTTGATAACAAATTTTTATTCTCATCAATACTTAATCACACAGACACATGAAAATGAACACTATGAAAATACCACCAGCATTTTTTTCTAGCTGTTCAAGACAGAGAAAAGGCTATCTGGATTCTGTGATATTTGAAGAAGAATGTAACTGTTAACTATAGAATTTCTTTGCCCTTATTAAAACTGTTGAAAAATACAGTGGCATAATTAAATGCTTTTTTATTATTACTGAATAAACATTATGTTCTTACATAGTCTGGCAGCATATAGAAATTAAGAAAATTACCATGCAACATTTGTATGAATAGAGTCTACCATATCAATATGAGTTTGAAAGATTATGTCCAAGTTTGGTTCAGTATAACATTCCTGTGTTTACTTTTAAAAATAGTAATATTCTTTTAATACAGGAGAACACTGCAAAACTAGTTAACTTCTTGAACGAGAATGCGTTACCTGAAAATAAGCCTAAAGACCTTATACCTGAAGAATCTACTAAGACAGAAACCAAGAAATCGGAAGACACTGACTCTTCTTCCTCAGAAGAAATAAATGCTGGTGTGGAAAATGTAAAAAGTGAGACTTTCTCAAGGGAACTGACAGCTGCAAAGAACAGTGAATCTGACTCCAAAGACCTGAGTGAGATCCACTACTGGATTAAGAACACTTTAATGCAGGATGGAAACTCCTACAAAGAGCCTCAGAAAAGTATGGGACAAGGCTTGCAACTTGAAGTGAAGTCTTCAGAGGAGAAAGAATACGGCTATATTGTGACGGTGAAAGAGTAAGTATAACAGCCAATTTGAATGGCATTTTTAGCTGGAGAAAAGATAAAGTCATTGCACCTAATGAAATATGAATGTACAAGAGGAAAATGCCACAGGCCTGTTTTTTAATACATCTGAAACTGTTTGGAACCTGTTTGGTACTTTGATGAAAATACAAGAAAACAGTTCCATTTTCTTACAGTTGCCTTTCCTCCAATGCGGAAGATATTTAGTTTGTAGGTCTTTTGCTTAGACCTCTCTCTATCTTCTCATGTTCCAGTGACCTTCCAATATGTCAGTAAGTGTGCTTATGGTTAGGATGTGGGCTTTAAATATTTGACTTGAAAGTAGCCTAAATATCAATGCCTGAGTCATTCTTTCAAAAAATGACACACAATAATAAAGCACAATATTTTCTCTGTGGTTTCATTTTGATCTGAAAATAACACATATAGGAATCCAACCATCACATATGCAGCTAGTTTAGAAAGGAAGACCTAATGATTTCAGGTCATGTCACTAATGAATTTGACATTTAATACAATACTTTCAAAAGACAGCTTTTTTTCTCCTAGTGGTACACAGTTTATTACAGGAACATTTGGGACTTTAGAACGATGTGGGCACTTTTGGTTTCCTTTCCCCCCTGCGAGAACGATATTATATTTGGTTAGTGATCCCAACTCATCTTCTGTGAGAAATTAGGAATTTGTAGGATGGGCTTACAAACCTCTGCCCAGCATTATAGAGAAACTGAGACACAAACTTCTGTAGCATGGATTGATTCTTTTGACTGTCTCAAATTTATTAATGGGATTGAAGGCAATAGGATTGTGGAGGATTCTAGGTTTTACCACCCTGTTGTGTTGAAATGCACATGGCTGGGTATCAGAGACAGCTTCTTGTTCGCCTTCTCCCAGGGGCTACACTTGAGAAAGATGGGAGCACGAAGAAAGGATGCCATGTGGGGGGAAGAGATTTTATACAGTGCGTGAAGGGACAGGCTGAAGAGAGGAGAGTGAAAACTGAGGCTCAGCAGCCTGCAAACATCAGAGACAGAGACTTCTCAAGAAGTAGGGAACAAACACGCACTCCTCAGAGATAATGGAAGGAATATATTTCATAAGGACTCAGATTACCCTGCAGAAAATAAAAGTTGCTTAGTTACTGGAATGAGAGGTGCTGAAGGAAAGGGCTCACCTGTGAGGACATGGTGGGGATGAGAGTTATGTTAACAGATCCTTGCATTGCTATCATGTCCCATCCTGAGTTTTATTTTTACCATTTTAGTGTTAAATTTTATTCACTTTCTAAAGACACTCAGCTCTAGAGTTTAGAAAAGACCTTGGGGAGATTTGGAATGCTTGCTTTAAGGAAAGTCCCAAGTGATTTGAGGTCCTCATACTTCTGTTAACTTGTCCGTGTGTCAATAACCACTGTTAATCGTTATTTAATGACCAAGTGCCTTGGATTTAATTAACCAGTTTTAAACTGCTTTTGCCATTGCCCTTTTCAGTTGTTCCCCTGTAATGTTCATTTTTGTTGAGTGGTTCCTGTAGCAGGCTCGCTATTCTCAAGAACCTGCTCCAGGAGAAAGCCAATTATTAGAATATTCTTACAGCTTTTTGTCTAGGTCATGCCTTAGTCCTTCAGGTAGGATGCATTCCTATTTGATTTTGCCAAGGGGGCACTCAGGAGTCTCCTTCTGTGTTTTTGAAACCAGTCTACCAGAAATTGATGGGATACCTGAGTTGAACCACACCTCTTGGTTCCTGCCTATGAATGCTATGTGAAGCAATAGAAGCTATTTTTTTCCGCAGCTAAGCGCTACTTCCCCCAGGCGTTTTAACTCACATCAGTCTGGAAGGCACCTTTACATCCAACAGTGTCTTAATGACACCATCTCCCTTGGCCATCCAGACTTATTTGGCTCAAATTCTCTAAGAGCTTAGAGCTTTCACAGGTCTATGTAGTGGGAGATGTTCTGACTTTCAGTCTTCACAGCATGTAGATTCTTCACTGTGCCATCTTATCTGGTTTTCTTCCTAGCTAGTCCCCACTGATGGGTTTTTCCCCAAATTATGTCTATTATTCTTCAATGAAACTTGCTGAAGAAGGTCATTTGTCCAAAGGTTCTTGGTCCTAGAGGACTCCATATACACAAATATAATTTAGCATAGATTTGTTCAGCTTTACCATTTTTGATACCAGAAGGACAAAAGGTACTTTTCTTATATACTAGATTATTACAATTTTAGTAACTTTTGGGCAAGATGCTTTTAGCTAAACATCGGGATGCTGTTAGAAATGCTCAGAAACGATGAGAAAAAATTCGCAATGAGTTAGATGAAACTACTTCAAATGGTTTGAATTAAAAAATATAAGTTTATCAAAATAATTTTAGTTTTTAATGGTAACCAGCTCATTACACAAAGCATGTACTACGTGTATTCTGAAAACTTAACTGGTAACTCCTCACTACATTCTTAGCAGTTTGAGTACAACTAGATGTCATCTTCTCCAAAGTCATAGAGAAAAAGAGAATAAGCTTTCATGCTTTTTTTCCTGTTCCTAATCTAGAATGAGTTGATCATTAAAGAGAATTAGCTGATTGAGTTGAACTAAAGAAACATTTCCATTTGTACCAGGATTACGTTGCATTCAATCTGCAGCAAACGGATTTTGGTTCAGTGATTTCGCCCTCCTCAGCATTTCAACTCCAAAATATACTGGTTTCATTTTTGTTGTTATTGTTGTTGTTAGACCTGTTCAAGCCAAACAAGTTTATCTGAAATGTAAGAGCAAAATGAAAAGCTTGTATTTTGCAAAACAAAATTTGTATGTTCTGGAATTTTATAAGAATAACAAAACCTGTTCAGGAAATTCCACATGCTAAAAATGGACTTGTCCCCTCTGCAGGAACAGTGAAAAGCTTTCCACAGCAGTTGAGGGATCTGTTACATTCTAGTATTTCCCACAACCATTATTTAGTACATAAAGTGGCCTTAGAGAGCAATTGGATCAGTATAGCCGAGAGTTTCAGTAAGGAGTTGTTTTCGTGAATGTTGCTGTAATTGTATTTTTTTCTTGGGGGAGAGAGGATAGAGAAAGGGATGTTTGTTAACTATCACTGCACAGAAGAGAAATTTTAATGTCCTTTTAAGGAACATTTCTTTAGTAAGCGTCCTGTTACTGGTACAAAGTGTCCTTTGTACCAAAAATCTTACTGGCTGTTTGCATTAAATAAATAGTATTAAGAAATGGGTTAGGTGTATGCTACACATTTATACATAACTGTACATGCATCTTATATTCATATAATGAAGTAAAGGGGCTGGAACTATTCCTAGTCAGATCTTTAATCTATGTTAGTCTAAAATCACTCCTGTTTGAGAGGTGATTGTAGTCTGTAAGTACTCAGGAAATTGATTTCACAACCGATCTTTGATATTTTACGGTTGGACTCGATGATCTTGAAGATCTTTTCCAACCTAAGTGATTCTATGACTTTTTGTTTAGATCTTTATGCTTTTTTAAAGTTCTTTATTTTAAATAGAGAGGAAGTTGGAGCTAAAGGTAGGCATGAAATATATCTTTCTGAGAGGCTGAGTGTTAGACAAATTCATTTGTGAAGTATCCTTCTTGCAGCAATTATCACATTTAAGATTATAAACCTAAAATTAGGATTTAGGTGGGGTTTTTTAATCCACTCTTAACTTGTGCACACAAAATGAAATGCCAAAATGTAACACAAAAGTTACTTACTTATTTTTTGATGCTACATCTTTGTATGGTTTTCTTCTTCCTCCATAAAGTAATAGGCCATAGTTTCAACCCATCACTTTTTGTTGGCCATGATTTTTTGGAGCAGTGAAGCTTCATTTTCAGCTGAAACAGTGGTCTTTTGGTGAGAAAGGGAAGTAGTCCAACATATTTGTACACTGGGGATAATAGCTTGGGTTCTTTTCACCTTCTGATCTGAAAATGGAACTGAAAAGATTATACTCAGTGGTATAGTTGACAGATGTCAGGGGTGATCCATTCACTATTAGATTCTCAGGCTTCCATGGCTTTGCAAGTGTGATCCAAAGGAGGTATTAAGACTGCTTCAGTGAACTCCTAAGATGCCAGCTTTTAATTGTGCCACAAAGCAAAGATAAACATTTCGATGTAATACTTGAAGAAAAGATTTGTGATAGTTTAAAGACTTGTCAAAACGGCAGTCTGATTGTCAATGGCAAGAACAATAGGTCACTCCTGCTGTGTTTGTCAAGTGACCTTTCAGATGGTTGGAGCAGTGCAATCCATACCAATCCATAATATCCATCAGTGCTAAGCTGTGGAATGAATTGACAGTTTCAGTGTAGAAAATTGTCCAGCAAATCCTCCACTGTGCTGCTTCAGCACTTTATTATGCTGAGAAACCAATCAAATTGGGTGATTTACTTTGTTTACTTTTTTCTTCTTCAAAAAATTGGTATTCTACCACTGTAGGATTTGCGTGAAAGAGTTTTGTTTCTTTCTTAGTGTAACTGCCTTCAACTGTTTCTACTAATTTTAGCTCTGAAATTCTAAAGTAATCTTATGAAACAAAGTTACCTACAGGATGTTATTTTCATTTGTATGCTACTTTGGCCGTAGTTATAAAATACTCCTCCGTTATGGTGGGGATACATCAGTGTGAGCTCTCAAATCAGAGAAATCTTTGCCTTTGGACAGAAGAACTTTTCCTATTTTCTGAAATTCTAGTTCTTCAAATATGGAAAACTGCTTTTTGGGTTGGAAAAAATGCCAACGCTCCCATTTTTCTGGCAGGATATGCTCTGAGGGCCAACATCCCACAGTCAAAATATTTAAATAATGTTTAGCCTCCTGAATCTCTCATGAGGAAACCCAAAGCCTGACTTTCCAGAACATGTAGTTCTTCCCACCTCCAGTAAAACTAAATGCAAGCTGCTGCATGCTCAGCAGTTTAAATAGTCAAGCTGGTGTGCAATTTCTTAAATGTGAGATTGAG